GTATAAAATTTATTTGATAAATATCGATATATATCAGATTTTTTATATAATCAATTAATAGTGATTTTCTGTTATAACAGCTATATATCGATGTTAATCTCAATCAATATAACCCAACAGGATGATTATTATTGATATATATCCACATAGATAATAATCGATATATATCGGCCTATAATTTTTGCTAATGAAATCTGAGATGCATTTGTTATTTAATAGTATCAAATTGAGGTGCATTACCAATTGCAAATTTTTGAATCTTGTATAACAAATCAGATAATCTAAACTAATCTCAAGCATATAATAATTAACAACAAACTAATCAATAGCTAATCTTTGTTTAATATAATGTAGCACAATTAGAAAATTCAATGCAAATGTTTGTTTTGACAAAAAATTAGTATAAAAAGCTCTAACAAAAGTAACAGGAGGAGCCATTAATATTATATAACTGATCCTTTACCTAGTATGCAATATATAAAAAAATTATATTACAATACTGGATCATTTTACTAATACATATTACAATTATAATCTCACACTATTTTTTATAATAAAAATGTTGTAAAATTATAATAATAATATGTAATAGTTAGAATGATTTGGTATTGTAAAATAATTTTTTATATATTGCACATCAGATAAAGAATCAGTTATATAGTATCAATAGTTCTTTTTATTAACAAAAGTCTTTTTTAAACAATTTTACTATTATCTCACTAACTTTTAACTCTAAAGTAAAGCTACTCTAACATTAATACATTTTTCTAATATTATATACTTAACCTTTTTTTTATAGCTATATTGAAAAAATCTAATCTCAATGTAATAAAACATTTGTACTATATTATTAAAATTTTACAAGAATTTTTTTATTAGTAGATAGAAAGTAGTTTTATAAATATTATATATAGTTTTTTAACTCTGATTGGTGCATCTTACATAGTCCTACTAAAATAGCTTAACAAAACTAAATGCTACTTAATTGATATTTAATTTGTAATACTATTAGTATTATTTTGCAAAATATTATATATAATCAACAATTTTATTATAATAAAAAAAAGGTTAAGCCAAAAATTTTTCACTTCATCATAATCCTAAACTATTCTATTCTAATTGCAATAGTCTCGAACTAATTCAGTTTATATATCCAATTCTTTAATTCAAAATTTTTTTTAAAAAAAAAAATTTTAAAAAAAAATTTTTATAAATCAATTATAGCTTCTTTATAACTCAAACTTATTTAACAGAAACTTAAATATCTTCATTATTCACTTTAACAACTGCAATATAATTATTTGGCTTAAAAGACTTAAAGACATTTTGTACTAAAGAGGTTAGTTGCAACTTTTTCTTGTAAGTTTGTTAATTTATATCATAACTAGATACAATTGCAACTTCAGTTTTAACTTTGATTATATTGTTTGCTAATTTTTTTTTATATACACTATTATAGCCTAATTTTGCATAATACTTTTCAAGTAATACACTTATATAGTGATGCATTTTAAACATATATGAAATTTATTGTTCTATAACAGCTTTATTAGTTATAATTTTAGAGACAGTAATCTTAGAGGTGGTAGTCTTAAAAGTGATCTTAAAGATAAAAGTAGTCTTAGAGATAGTAGTAGTAATCTTAGAGGTGGTCTTAAAAATGGTCTTAGAGGCAGTTTCAGTGGTAATAATGATAGTTTTAAAAACAGAAATAATAGTCTTAGAGGTAGTCTTAGAGGTAGTAATAATGGTCTCAGAAGTAGTATTAGTGGTTTCAGAGATAGAAGTAGTTTTAAAGATAATGATAATAGTCTTAAAAGCAGTAGTAGTTTTAATAATAAATGTTTTAAATACATTAGTGATTCTGAAAATATCTGTTATAAATAAAAATCATATATTTAGTAATTGCAATTTAAGTTTTAATTTGAGCAAAAGTGTAAATGCAATAATGTAATTATTATAATTATAATGAATTATAACAAAATATTGTAACTTATTATAATTATATTAAATTGTAACATTGCATTCACATCTCTAAATTTTGTGTTAAAAAGATATAGACTGAGTATATCATATATACAATGTATTTTATATCCAAATATTGCTTTATATAATATATAACTATATACTTTGTAAACAGTTAAATTATACAATATAACAAATACATCAATTATATTAATTTAGTCATTTTTTTGTAACTGGTTATTTTGATTTCAAAGCAACTTAGTAAACCCATAACCTACAGTATGATTAAATCATTTAACTTAGCCTTATGACTGTAGATAGCAAGGTCTATTATGCTTAATTGTAATATTAAAAGTACTACAAATTTCAGTAATAATTCTTGCAACAAATTTCTTATTATTGTCACTTTGAAGAATCATAGAAGGTTTAAAAATCTTAAAAACATTTTTTAAAAATGTATAACATTTGTATTTGCTTTCTTATTCTTTATAGAAATTGCAAACAAAAATTTAGAAAATATACAGATATATATAAACAGTCATGAGAAATCATTGTTGACTTTAGCCAAATCTCAAAAGTTAATTAGATCAATTTGAACATGCTGCCATAGTGCTATTAATATTATGTTTCTTATATTAGTTTTTTCTTTGATAAAGATAGTTATAGCACAAGCAGTACAATAGTTCATATACACTTTTACTTTTTCTTGCATAATTCTAATATGTTTCTATGAAATTGCAAAGAAAGTTTTATAATGCTCCTAGTAGTTTGCATAATTATAGAAATATTCCAAATTAGATCATGTATTTCTTTATTATATTTGAAGACTACTTAGTGTTTTTCTAATATTAAATCATTTTTTATAATTAGCTGAATATAAAAGAAGCTATTGTAATAAAATTTACTTTTTTTTCTATATTAGTATATATTTATTTTTAGCTCTACATTATATTTTATATTTTTCTTAATATTTTTACATAGTTTATAAATTATTTTATTAGTTTTAATTATCTATTTAATAG